GTTCATTCTCTTCGCCAGTTACACGTGAGCGAGGCTATGCCGTGCCAGCAATAATCAAAGAGCGTCCTAAGTGAAAGAGATGTTATTGAACTTCATTATATACCAGTATCCGGTTAAAGGGTTCTTTTCTCACAGGGCTGGAAGATTCATTGAAGTGGTGTTCGCAGCTATGATATAAAGTAGTCCCGCAAGCTGTACATTTGACATTGGAAATTCTATTTGTGGCAGTCTTGATAAATATCCTATATCATCTTCCAGCTGTGGAATTGTCGCGTTAGACTTCGGTTCATATTGGTCATGTCTCGACCAACAGCCATAATCATGTGTACTCACGAAACCTTCGAAGATATCCTCAACGACGAGCTTGCATCGAACCAGCTGCTACAAGAAGCACTGCAGGCAGCTGAAGAGAAGCAGACTTTGTGGAAGAGATTATGCCCGTCTAGTGTAACATTGAACATTGGGATCATGGAACTATTGCAGCGGATCTAAATGACCAAATACCATAGTACCTAGCCTAATGTACGTTGTTGGGTGTGATTATGTTCGCCTCGAGGCCTTGCCAAGCTTGCCATGAAACACTCGGAGTCCAGTATATAAGCAGACGAAAGTCGTCTACATTCTGTAACAAAAATGCGGTTCCTCACCATATTCAATGCCATCATTTGGCTAGGCTTCCTTTGGTTCTTCGTGTTCCACGTTAATCCCGGCCAACACACTGGACGAAGCTGTTCTATGCTGAATGTGCCCGGCCCCACATCGACTGATCACATCTCTGCCCACGTTTGTTAGCAGTCGTGTAGGTCACCACAGCAGAAATAGTACGGAATATTACCGAAACATTCGATGTCCTTCACGAAGACCAAGCGCAAAGGCGCATAACCATCCCTAGCGAAATCGTAGACCCGGCGAAGTCTGTCGTTTCGAAAGCAGAAGAGCATATCGCAACGGTCGTGGCCTCTGCAAAGCAAGCGGTCAGCACACCACTCGCCGACATTTGGCAGAACATCAGGTCCAAGTTCTTTGACGACCTGACTCGGTGGGAAGACATGGTGCCTGTCTACTTCTGTCTTCAAACGCGGGGCGTGTGGCAGCTGGGCTACCCGAACTCGACCAGCAAAATCGTCTCATCTAAGGACTTTGACGTCTTAGATGCTCTCCAAATCACGGTACTCGACAGCCTGTTCAGCATGGCACGCCAGATTGTCCCCGGGCTGCCGGACGGCTTAGTCAGTGACTTGGCGGAAGTTGACTTCAATGTGCTCGATACGATGGCTGCCGCCGCATACTGGTCGCTT